ATAAACATTTTATTAGAGGAATGAATTTGATAATAAAAATAGGATTAAAAAGACTTGCAATATCAGAATCAAATTGTCGTAATCTTAAGAACAGTAGTAATAATAATAGTGCTGGAGAGGAACACATCCAGAAAATTACAGAGTATATTACAGAGTATGTTGGTGTTTGGAATAAAGACTTTTTTGAACCTAGAAAAATCAAGGTTAATTTTCATGAAGAAAAAAAAGAAAATTATATTGGGTATTCTTTTATAATTAAAAACATTTAATGATGTTTGTTTATTTATATTTATTTTGTTTATATTTATTTTGTTTTAATTTTATATTTATTTTTAATTTTATATTTATTTTGTTTCTTTGCGTATTATATGTATATATTATTACTTTATATATTATTAATGTTGTGCGTGAAAATCATCTGCGTCAATTTGAAATTTGAAATTGTGAATTTCAAATTGACACAGATTCCAAATTACGCACAACATTAACAAATAATTATATTATATACAACTATTTTGGTTGCATTCATCATCTTCATCAGTAAGATGATAAACATTCATTTGTAAGGTTGATGAGGAATAACATAATTTTTTTTTCACTTTTCAATTTCAATAAAATTTCAAATTCATCATCTCCAAATCATCATTTTATATTATAGATATACAAGCATTTATATTTGAAATCATTTTGATTATGGACATTCAGGAGCCTTTCTCTTAATAAAATCTTGGGCAAATTGAACAATTGATGATGTTTTGAAGATATTTTATGGATGTAAATTAAATCTTGTTGTATACGTCCTTTTTCATTTGCAATTAAATGCTACTTATTACATTATCTTGAAGAAAATGAAAAAAAAATAATTAATAGCTAGAAATTTTAGAGTTCTATAACGATCTTGCTCTTAAATTTATCTTGTTCCAACCCTAATTTTCTACATTATAATAATCTGATTCGTTCAGCAATTTTGTTAAACCATTTACAAGCTTTCGGATACATTTTAGTGGTTGAGCATAATCACCATGAGGTAGAATTTTAATATATGTTGCAGATCGCCTTATTATATCACAAATTTATGTCACGAAAATGAAATTAATGACCAATTTCCGCCGCCCACATGGATGTAACGCGTAAAAAATTTCAATAGATATTGGAAGGATTGGAACTCCATCAAAAATAGTGTTCTTGTTCGTAACCCTTACATATTCGAATGTTCGAAAGTTTTTTGGACATCGTAATCATATTCGTATCATATTGCAAACTTTCGAATATTCGTAATACTTTCGAGCATTCGTAATCTTTTCAATATTTGTGGCAATTAACATTCTGACATAAAGATAATTTTATAGCATTGGATATATTTACATTTACTAATTAGTTTATGTTCCTAATTGTTAGATTGTACAAAATGAGATAAATAAATATAATAAATAATAAATTAGTATTTTTAAGAATAGAGAGAGCCATTTATAGTACAAAAAACAGCTCGTTATATAGAATATAAACTTTGTTGCATAGAACAAATTTGATTAATAAAAAACTGGGACCAAAAATATAGAGCCTTGACTGTATTACGAATTCGAATTACAAATACTGGTGAATGCTTGAATGCTCGAAAGTATTACGAGTACTCGCGCAATTATGAATTAATTTCGAATATCGAAAATCATGTGTATATTCATTAATTGAAAATTTTTTTTTAAAAAATTCTGTCTATTATAACCCTCTAAACTTGTCTTTTTTTCTTTGTAAAAGATTGCAATAACCATTTTTTATTTTCAAAGAAAACGTCATTTTGAAATCTTAACAGCATACATATATATGCAATTTGTCATAACTATGGCCCATATTAAAGAAAAAAATGTAATTAATTTAATAAAGCATTGATCGAGATGCAATTTCAGTAAATAATAATTT